GTGCATGGATCTTGGATTCATTTTCGTGTTCAGCAGGTTCTCTAGGTCCAGTATGTTGAATTTGATAATTGGGAATTGATTAGAAAAATCATGGCCAGCCAAAGTGTCCCCCCTGGTATGTATAATTCACATATTTCTGGAAAAGCATGAACAGAAACATTAAAATTAATTTTTAATAATACTTAAACATTATATAAATACCAATCAAACCATTACCTGTGCTTTAGTCATGCCTATGATGAAAATAACAAATGTTGGAGTGGGGGGAGTCTCCAGAAATCACAAACTCTGTTCGCAACAATCCCAGCACATAACATGCTTCTTCGCCACCTCACAGTAGCCTATTAATCCTCCAGGACTAATTTCAAACTTCTGGCCAAGGTATTTTAATCAGAATTTCCGTAATTAAACGAAACTTCATACCAGCCGTATGTGCTTATTATATTTCAATCAGAATCTGAAACAGAAAGGTATATGATTAATTTCCTGCGTTTTAGGGCTTTTGCATGAACTATTGCCAATCGATGAGTCGTGGGCATTCGACTTTTAATAATAAAATCGGATAAACAGGCAGCTGTGCGTACAATAGACAGGGAGTGGCGAACTCCATGAATGACGAACACTTACATTTAATCGTCCCTGTATCGCCAGGAAGTCCAGCCTACCAGTTCCTGTCCCCCAGCTAGAAGCACTGCACATCTTTTATTTTTTGAATGGCTCGACCTCTCTCATTCATTGTTCAATAACTTTGAACAACATCCGAAACCGAGCAGAGGCACGCGCCTATTGTGTGACCCAACGGGAGGTGAGGTAGCTGCAAGAAATACAGGTGGAATTTGAAATTGAAAGAACGTATAATAGACCAAGGGGTGCTTTTGTACAACATTTAAACGATACCTACCGGGCGTTACAGGTTGCTACCATTGTTACACTGTACTTCCCGACTATGTATAAACGTCCTGGCTGTTTCGAATTATCTTTTGCGTCACTTGCATTAAAATTAAAATGTAACATGTTC